AAGAGGTAAGATGAATAGTTCCCAAACCCAAAACTTTAGTTGATGATTCATTAGCAAGAGTAACACTTTGGGAGGAAGGAACAGACTGAAAATCAAATAAGAGATGAGAACTACCAGTCATGTGATCGGATGTGCCAGAGTCAAGAATCCAGGGACTCTGACTAGAGGACAAAAGACATGCAGGGGCACTACCTGATTGGGCCAAGGACCCCATGGAAGATGAGGTGGAAGGCCGTTGTTGAGACAGAAACTGAGCATACTCAACGTTGTGGATCGTGACCTTAGCAGTCTCAACAGCCACATGTGGAGCAGTGGGTGTGACAGAGAGAGAAGAATCCCCATCATTAGAAGTCACTTGATGTGTATAGGAAGAAGGTGACGGTTTCCCATGAAGATCCCAACAGTAATTGACAGTGTGATTAGTAAGACCGCAGTGAGTGCAAAGTTTTGAGTCTCTGCCTTTGCCTCGACCACGGCCACGGCCACGGCCACGGCCACGACCATGAGTAAAACGACCACCACCGCCACGAGATGACTGAAAGCCACCCTGGTTCACAACTAAGGCAGAATGGTCACTGCTAGGAGGAGCAGTGACACCACTTGACGCACCCTCTGAAGCGCCACTCGATAAAGTGGCACGCTGGAGTCTGGATAACATATCAGGTAGAGAGGGAAGTGCAGGGCTACCCAAAATCTGTGCACGAACAGGTTCATACTCTTGTGACAAGCCTGTGAGAACCCGAACAGCATTAAAATCCTCACGTTGCTGTTGCATGCTTTTTACATCAGAGGTGATGGGTTGATATAAGTTCATTTCTTTACAAAGTCCCATTGCCCGTGAGAGGTATTCTTCTAAACTGTGAGTCCCTTGCTGGAGATCAAAAATTTTTCTACACACCTCATAAATTCTGGTTATATTACCAGTACCGGAATAAAACTGTTGAAGTCGGGTCCATATCTCCTTGGCAGTGTCCAGATATAACAAGTTGGAGCTAATATGAGGTTCAATACAATTCAGCATTAAGGAGATGATCTGAGCATCCCTTTGTTCCCATGAACTGAAATTAGCATCACTGCTTTTGGGTTTATCCTTAACCAAATGAGTGCCAAAGCCTTTGGCTTTCAGGAAAATGGCTACTGACTTGGCCCATAAAATGTAATTTTTGCCTTTAAGCTTGACTGCAGTCATGGGGGGATTGAAGGAGGTAGAAGATAACAGGTCTGAATTGGAAGCCATGAAGAACGTAAAAAAAAACGAACCTGGGAAAAAATTGCAGAATTGGCAACCGGGTCGGATCTGGTCAACCGAGTCGGATCAAAACCAGGTCTCTGCTATCTCGGTTTTAGTAAACCATGGTTGGAATAGCATAACCGCGCAACCAAACATGGCTGTTCTTCTCCACAACACCACCGACAGACTCCGGCAAGCACGCAGCGGCGATGGCAATAATCAGCGACACCACACCGAATCAAAACCTCTGCAACTTCCGACCAAGAGAAAAGACGAATCGATGAAGCCTCACCTCTGCAACTAACGACGGTAGATGTCGACTAGCTTGCTGACGACCAAAGCGGCAACAACACGAGCGGCCAAAGGGGCTTCAGATCTGATGGCGACAAAGGAGGTTTCAGATCTGACGACGACGACGACGAATGATGTTCTCAACCTGCCGGCGACAAGAACTTCAGGCAAAGACACCAACAACACACTCACGATTTCGATCACGATTCCAATCTCATACAAGGGCAACGCAATTGTCGTTTCCCACACCCTTGAATCCATATAGCTCTGATACCATGTTCAGATTCATGAGAGAGAGAGAGAAAGAGAGAGAAAGAAATCTGTTTATATTGTATATTCCCTTCAGCCTAAATGAGGCTTATATAAAGGACAAAGGGTTATACCTTAATTACACAATATTGCTTAATTACACAATAATCCTAACTACTATGGGTAATTACATAATGACCCAAATAAACATTCTAACACTCAAACATCTCCTTCTCGACAGTGTGGTGGTTGGCGCAGTTTTGTATCCATATTCACATGCGGTTTCGATGTCGGAATCGTGAGAAAGAGACTAGAAAGAGAAAGTCTGACATTGGAGGTAGGAAGAGAAAGTCTGAAATTGAAGAGTAGAGAGAGAGAGTCTAAAATTGTAGAGAGTAGCGAGAAAGTGTGAAGTTGAAGAAAGTAGTGAGAATGTATCAATCTCTCCCTCTGTTTTGCACACACTTAAGAGAGGTGTTTTCAGCTAGGAATACAGAGGCAGTTTCAGTTTTTAACATCAACAATTTCCTTAATTGTTTCTTCCAAATAGAGAGGGCAGGTCTTGAATGTTTTTGCTTTCAGTTTTGAAGGACAGAGAGAGGAATTAGGGGGAAGTAGGGGTAAGGGGGAAAGAGACAGAGAATAGCTCCCGTAATGGTGTCGGTGGTGGAGAAGAGAGGAGGTCATAATGGTATCAGTGGTGGTAGGAGGTTGCAGTTGTGGTGGGAGGAGGTGGTACTAGTTGTAGGAGGTGGAAGGAGAATGGTTATGGTGGTGGCAATGGTGGAAGTGGTGGGAGGAGGTGGTGGTGCTGGAAGGAGGTGGAGAGAGAGAGAGAGAGAGAAGAGAAGAATAAAATGAGATTTGGGTAGCGTATTAGGAGTATTAATGAGGGTAAAACAGTCATTTTGGACTTCTACCTACAGTATCTGAACAGTGAGAAATAGCAAACTGCTGAGAGAAACAGATTGAAAGAAAAAGAAAAGCTTGTGTATGTTAAAAATGACCAGCAAATAAATCCAATCCATTAACATGATAATGGTTAACTAAGTACAAATACGCACACAGATAAGAATGAAGTCGATATCAGATAGGAGGAGCATTGTTGATGTCTCTTGCAATAGCACGATATCGTGTAGGATAGCTCTACGTAAAGAGGATGTCGAACCCACAGGGAGATGGAATTTGTATTAGTCTTTAAGTTAATTTCATGGTTTACAGGTAACTTGGTTGGAAAGTTTGTTGGTTGTCACGATTTAACAAACTCGAATTAAAACAAAATATTAAATAAAACAAATTAAACTAAATTGAATGATCAGAAAGAGAGGAATCTTAGAGCTTTGATTTCACCGCAATCATCATACTAGGGTTAATTATACTAACTCTTGGAATTTAACAATGATATTTTCTAAATGAATTGAACTCAATAACATTCGTTCAATTCGGGTTTTAGAGAAAGATGTTTTACAAAATTAGCTAACTATAACCTATCCACGGTTAGCGTGGACTGTCCGTCTACCTACTCTAACTACTTTAACTACGTTGCAAACAATCCACCTTTCCTAAGCATAGACTATGAAAACATTCTTTTACAAAATACATTGGAACACCGTTATATGACCTCTATTCTTATGGTCGGCAAGGCTCCGCCAGATAACGTCCAATAAGGTAGGTTGAGAATAGAAAATAGACTATTACATCTAAGACAACGAGTAACAGTTTATAATCTATTAAAGCATGAAAACCACTTGAGTTGTCTCAAGTGCTCATAGTCATATAATCAAGAAAAAACATATATTAACCCAGAGTTAAAACAATCAAACCATAATATTAGGTTGGGTTACATCAATGCCTTAAGAGGGGAATTAGCTACTCATGACAAGGTTGGATATTATCTGTGTTGAGTTCATCTCCATCGTCACGGACGACACTTCTCTTCTCAGGATTTTCACTTCTAAGGTTGTAGGAATCCTAAAAGCAACCACACCTTCAGCCTTCTGAATAACACCGTAAAAGAGATTGAAATTTTGGACCTCTTCTATTAAGGCTTATGCCTTCTTTTATAGAAGAAAATAGTATTTGGTGGGCTTTTAGGTCTTCTGACCCAACTGGGATGAGATACGGCTGATAAAGAGAGCAATCCCGCAACATTAATCTGACATGTCATGGAAGGCTCGAGCTTTAAGGTTCAGGCTCGAGCTTCAGGACCAAGGCTGGAACTTCAATAAATGGTGCTCGATCTTCACTTTGACACTTAGCCAATGTTCTTCAACTATTTTCCGAAGCGTCTTTTTTTTCAACACTTAGAATATTTTTGGGATTGAAATCTTTTAACATTGCTCGATCCAAGCTTCATGGGCTCGAGCACTAGGTACTAGGCTCGAGCATTTAGGACACCAGGCTCGAGCCTCAGTTGTTAGTGCTTGATCCTTAGTGGATGGTGTTCGATCCTGGAGGTGAGGCACGAGACCTGGGAGCATAGCCTTGCAATTAAATCAACTCTTTAATTTCCAACACCTTATGCTCGAGTTTGAGGGTTAAGGCGTGAGCACCCTTGGTTAAGGCCCGAGCACCTTATGGTAAGGCTCGAGCTTCAAGGTACAAGGCTTGAGCTTTTGGGCCTTGTTGACTTTTCTTCTTTTCTTTGTTGTAATGCTCGAGCCTCATCACTTGGGCTTGAGCTTTAGGGCTTGAATTTCTTCAAACTTCACCATTTAAGCTCTCGGCTTGCTCTGAATGACCGGCAACGACTCTGTAAGCTTCGATATCATCATAAAGTCCCGGTTTTAACCATTTCTTTGGGAAAGTACCTACAAACACACATTAACCATAAATTAGTCTAACTATGGATAGAAGTATCACTTTAGGCCTTAACATATACATATTTAGGGGCTCGAATATGCATATTTTCAGCGCTCATCAAGCATCTGAAAGTAATATCCTATGTATCATGTACATAATTTGACATCAAGAATAAGCAGTGTCCTTTCTTCTTCCACCAAGTGTGGATCCATTACTTAAATACACAAAATAACTACAAATTGCTCTATTGATATTTCAATTAGATAAAGATCTTCTTTTTGCTATCTTTGTATATGTATTTGAGTTTCAAGCTTTAACAAATTTTTATGTTGACTACTTGCGTCTGAATTTTCAATTCAGTGGGAGTCGAGCTTGTTTATAAGGAATTAGTTCTTATTGACATCAATCCTTTTTTTTTCTTTCCCAGCTTGCTTTTCCAGATGGTATCTATTTGATTGATGCTATTCAGGGTGGGAAAAAGCTAATGAAAGCCTGTAAGCCTGCTCTCGAGTCTAGTTACATCACAAAAGTTATTCACGACTGCAAACGGGACAGTGAGGTCCTGGAAATGATTTAGTAATTTCCTGAAGTTTTGTGTATCATGTATCACATGTTCTTCCCGGCATTGAATATTTCCCTCATTGCAGGCATTGTATTTTCAGTATGGTATCAAGTTGCACAATGTTGTGGATAGCCAGGTGAGTTTCAAGTTATCCTATTAAACTTAAAGATGAATATTCTACATGTGTTCTTCTACGATGGCTCTCTGATGCTTTCTTGAGACATGAGAAGTTCCATAAAATTACCATCTTTAATCCCCTATGGACTGGGTGGTTAACCAGGACACATACTACTGGACAACTGGCTCAGGTTTTTATTATTATATGATACTAAAAAGAAAGGACGGGAATTTTATTTATTTATTCAAATTACGAGATTATTTATTTGGGGGTAGGGAGATGGGGGGTCTTCAGTTGCCAAAAAAAAAATGGTGGGAGTTTGTGATTCTAAAAGGTGAAGTTGGAAAGAATAGGTCTAAAGCTTTGAAAGAAATAGTTTTCTGTAGTGATTAATGCAGTGAGTTTAGTGACATCAGTTAACTTTCTTTTGCCTGCTGATATATCATAAATGACGACATTGGCTGCATGTTCAATGTTGCTATACGCATTTTAATCAAATGATTCATCTTCAGCCCGGTTTCTCCACTCCTTGTAGTTGTAACAAGTTGAATGCTGGCTTTGCATAAAGCCTTAATAAACTAGTTACTGCAGAATTTAAATTTTTGTGGAAGGAACTTGAAGAAAATGGATTTTAACTAAGAAGATCCGCGTTAGGTTTTTTTGTTTAGTTACTTGATTGTACATAGTTATTCCCATAATAAATAATTACAGTCATTACACCATTAGAGTAATGTTAAGAACGAAAATTGAAACTTGCTTCAGGGGAAATGTAAATACTGGCTATTTTAGAGGTTCAAAGAGAAGTATTAGCTTTGAATACATGTCAAAGTGCTAGAATTTTGACATTTTCCCATAGCAAAATCTATATCAGAATTCAGAAGGCATTATTCATGTAAATATATTATTATCCTTAATGACATCCATGCTTTAAATTCCAGGAGAGCATGGCCTTCCACTATTTGAATTTCCCCCCATGACCTATTTTCATGCTCCACTAGTTGCAGCAAGCTCAATCTCGTTCTTCAAATTGTTTACTTTGAAGTAGAAAAGGTTCTTTCAAATGAACGGTGTTGCATTATGTATGATCAAAGAGAATTGCTGATTTTACTCTTTTATATCTTTACAGATAGCATATAATCTGATAGAGGAACAAGAAGGACAGAAAAGATCACCGGATGACTATATTTCTTTTGTTAGCCTCCTTGCAGATTCACGATATTGCGGTACTATGTCCATACTGCATTGTGTACAAAACAATATAATCACAATAATGATTGGGACATTTGCATTCTCTTATGATTATATATTGATGGCTGTCTTTTAATGTTTCGGGTTTAATAATAGATACCAAAAACTTGAAGTAGAAAAGTAGCATCTCTTAATTTTTTAATTTTTATACTCTCTTCGATTATTTACTTCAAGTTTGTGAATATAGGTATATCATTTGTCGAGAAGAAAGTAGTCCGAGCTCTTCTAAGTGAGGTCAGTTAGGCATCTATCTTATTAGTTTGGAACTATTCAAGACATTCTAACTAAGACAGAATGTCATTGTAGTTGACTTGCTTTATTATTTTTTTGGAAACTAGTTAATAAATTTTCATTTGCTTCGTCATCAGGGCGATAAATGTATGTAGGGGAGATTGCATGCCTTGATTTTCAAGATACATTTGACATGCCTATCAAATGGTTGTCTTACTTTATTTGTCTCTTTATTACTTTCATTTTAATTTCCCCTTAATGTTATCACAGTCCTACATGGAAATGAAAGCTTAGGAGACATGTCTTACTAAATGGGATTGTAAATATGATTTCCCTTGGTCATTTGTAGTTAGCTGTCTCTCCCAGCTCTCTCTCCTACCTTAACTCTCAAATGTCGATAAATCCTTGAAAATTCAAGCATGAGTTGGAGTCACCTGGTAAAAATTTTGTATCCTAGGGCCAGGCCATGTTACATAGACCCAGACAGAAGACGTGCATGAAGTTTGAGGCATGATGACACCTTTTGACTTTTTGGGTGTTTTTTCATAATTATTATTTTTTATTTTTATTTTTATTTTTTCCTGAATGGGTATTTTTGAATTTTATAAATATTCAAAAGTGATACAATTACAAGAAGAGAAAATCTCCAATACATGTCAAAAAGTGGAATTAATCCACTACCATCCACCAAACCTAAGCTTCAAAATAAAAACAAATATGACCCAAGCCATACAAAATAAAAGCAACTAAAGACTAAATGTCTGACATGAAACCAATCCAGCTCTACAACTGAAACATTGATGAAAGGAACCCGCCACATCATGAAATCTAATCCCTGTAACCTGAACCGACTCCCTTTCAGAGAAGCAAAACCAGCCCCCATCAACACTAAAATCTGGAAATTTCAACCCTGAGCCAATTACCATCAACAGACTATGCAGCATCAAATAAAACCATCAACTCAGCAAATCCAATTGAGAAGAAGTGCATGACTTCCCAAACAACAACATTTGCAGCATGAGTACTTTGTCATTTTGAATATTTATGTACAAAAGGAACATATGAAGATAATTTTTGTGGAACTTATAATAAATTGGGATATGTTCCTTTCTTTCATGCTGTAGGTGTTACTTGATAGTTGATACATCTCATGCTAATACACAGTTACTTCACAAATTTGGAAGTATCAGTAACATCTTTTGGAATTTGGATAAACCAGTTTTTTGTCTGGCAAAATAAACAATGTTAATAGCATTAGGATTGACTGGTTAATGAAACAATTATGTAATTTTATTATTAGGGTAAATGACAGTAAGTTATCCTTTGACAAATTGCATTGACCTCCCTTGAAAACACATCTTTTATCAGTTTCCCCCTCGGTTAGCTTCAGTCAAAAACGGAAAATAATTACGTCAGTGATGGAAAAATCAGTTTCCCCCTCGGTTAGCTTCAGCCAAAACCGGAAAATAATTACGTCAGTGATGGAAAAATTTTAAATTCCAATATTGCCCTGATATTGCATAAAGACATTTTGAACCTCACTGATTGATGACTTTATTGGCTTCTCTAGTAGAATTGACTTCTAGGGTTTTTAAATGAGGTTAGAGCTCGTTCAAAATGGAGAAGGAGATCTGCTTAAAGATTCATGGCTTGTGCTTCTTGGTATATGTTCAAATCATGAGAGAGAGAGAGAGAGAGAGAGAGAGAACTTGCATGTATATATTTCACACACCAAACCTAATAAGCCTATGTAGGCTTATATAAAGGATACAAGTCAACTAAATAACACAAGGGCCCTACCAACTGTATTGATGCGACCCGAGCGTGTGCACAAAATAATGCACAACACTTTGGTTTTGGAAATGGTATCAAGCGGGCATCATAGTTTACATTTGTAAACCGCTAGACACTTATACTATGTAGTATGAAGTGAGAAGGGATCGAACCCAAGGGATTGAACACGTGTTGGGACTAAACTTGATTTTAATGCTAATTAGATTGTAAAAGAGAGAAGAGAGAGAGAGAGAGAAAGAGTGTGAGAGAAAAATATTTTGGTGGAGTGATTAAACTAAAATTCAATTAAAAGCATGAAAATAGAAATGACATTAAACTAAGAATTAAAGAGATAGGAAGAGAGTCTTAGGGTTAGGATTCACCACTAAGCCCATGCAATTAACCATATGCTTTCAATTAATGGGGAATTTATTAGTGTAATTATAGATGTGGTCACATTATCATCACAAATCACAATTGTAAGCATAGATTATCAACATCAAGAATGAATTGTCTACCTAATGACAATTAAACTAAAGTGTAAAACCCATTCAAGACTACGTCATAACCCACCATACACATTCACAAATGTATCCAATAAGAGCACACATCAATTAAGAAGATAATACTAATTGTAATTAGAAGCATGGATTAAAATAATCAAGCACAGATTGCCTACTTTACTACAATTAACTAATGACAAATAAGCTAATTTGTAAAACAATCTATCATGATTAAGCCTTTATCCATCAAATTAATTGACAATTGTATCAACTAAGTCTCATGCTATGGCCATCACTAAATACAACTAAAAGAAGTATTAGTGTAGAGTATAATTCTAAATCAATCACACCTAGACATGCAATTTTCATAAAGAATCAATGGAAGAATTAAATTCTAATCATCTAATGAAGAATAAAATCCCTAATTAATCATACATAGACATACAATCAATTGGAGATTTCAATGGAAGAATTTATCAATACAAACCCTAATTTATCAAATCAAGCATGTATATATTAAGAAATCGCAAGGCCATACAATTTAATTACAACATAATAATTCCCCAAGAAAAGAAATACAAAGGTTAGGGTTACATGAACTTAGGGCTCATCCAAGCCCTAAGTGAAGAACTAGCTCATGGAGGAGATGATCATGGTGTCAACAAGTCCTATCTCCATCTTTTGGCCCTTCTTCTTCTTCCTTCAACTGTAGACAAAGCCTCTGTAAAAAATATTCTTGAAACCCTCGCTTTTTTTCTTTCTTTCGTTTTCTTTCAGAGAGAACAATATCACGATACAGATTCAAAATAATAATCAAAACTTAAATCCCCAAATAATAAATCACTAAACTAATAAATACTAACCCTAAAAACAATGGGCCTCACTGGGCTTAAGTAATAAACCTATTAAAGCCCACTAGGTTACAAAATAAGCCCAAACATTAAAACAAAAATATGCAATGTTGCCAAGTCCTGAGGGATTGATCCCCCACCCTGGGGGATCGATCCCCCAGAGTTGGAAAATTCCTTTAAGCCTTATTCAGCTCCATTTTTGCCCTGGGCTATTTGGTTTGCTTCTCCATCTTTGGGAACATCATCAAAGGCCCGAGATTGACCGCTTTGTGCCATTTTCTGAAAATCTTTGCTTAACTCCAAAAAGGCTTAATTGGACCGTTCTTAGCTCATTTTAACTTTATTGCCCTGAAATACACATAAACATAAATTAAGACTAAAACATAAACTTAAGATAGATGCAAAGACTGAAATACCCTAGCTTAGATGCTGAAATGTGCAACATTTAAGCACTTATCACACCCCCAAACTTAGATATTGCTAGTCCCTAGCAATGAACTACAACATGGAAATGAAACAAACATATATACAACTATGAACTAATTAAGCAAATAAAGATAACACCACTTTCGTAGGGATCACGGTTGCATTTAGCATATGCAACAAGCCTTTTAAACCCCTAGGTGACCCCTAGTGGACGAGTGAAGTCTCGTGAGGGTTTCCAGAAATGGTACCCACAAACATCAAAAGCTCTTTCTTACTTGAGAAGCAACGACACATACTAAACAAGTGTTGAAAGTAGACTACCTCAAGTATGCAAATTCTGCCATTTCTAAGCTATTCTCAACATTTCAACATCATGTAAGCAAAAATGGTCCTCCACACATCAGCAGTTAATCATGCAAATTAAATCAATTCTATCATTCTTTTTGAGTGAACCAGCATCAAAATGTGTTGCTATCCTAGCAAATCAAAGTAATGGCGTAGCCTTACCCTCAAACTAGCATACAGCTATAGTACCAGACATCAAGACATTGAATGAACCTTGTTATTCAATCAAACATTTTTTTTTTTTTTTTTTATTGATTTCATTTTTATTATTTTTTATTTTTATTTTTTTATGTATGACCATGTGCAATGTCCAAGTTCCTTAAGCTCTCTAATCACCCCATGTAACAAGCGTTGAGCCAACGACTCCCAAACCAGATGGTCTTAGGGCGTTAAGTGTAAAGACACTCCTAAGGGCGTAATGACTCGGAATGGCTAGGCTACGAACTCAAACTAATCATACATCTTACATTCTTTCCTTGTCTTCCTTTTTAATCAGTTGACATGTTGAAAGAATGCAGTTTTTTTTTTTTTTTTTTTTTTTTTTTTTTTTTTTTTTTTTTTTTCAACTTTGGTAAGTGCTTTTATTTCTTTTCTGTAAGGTCATTTTATCAAGAATGAAAGCTTTCAAAACATACTAGCTCAATTGGGATAAATCAAGACAATAATCAACTAAGCATGTACCCCACAAATTGAATGCTAGTGTGCGCAAGTGCAAATGTAGAATTCTAGAATCAACTCTCAAAGCATTTTCAACCAACAAGATGATGTGTACCACAAAAGCAAACATAATGTCAAAAATTAAAATTTACCCCTAAATGGCATCCTAGAACATACAAGAAGTATTAGACTCTAACAACTTGTTTTTTAAAGGCACTATGCTTCAAAAGTTCGAAATCATTGCCAAATCTATCTCAAATCTCAATCATGCATTTAAAGCTCAACTTAAAGTAGAATGTAATAAGGTTACCTTACCCCCAAACTTAAACTGCACATTGTCCTCAATGTGCAATGAGAACAATGGAAGAAATGAAAAGAGTATACCGTAATGACAAAAGTTTAGGACGTCCGACAATGATCCATGATAAAAGAGGTCTCCCCCAAACTT